TACATGTAGTCCCGGTATATGGCTTGGGGCAGGTGCATGTGTAGTTATCTTGGTGCCTTTCACACACCCCGTTATTTTTGCAAGGGTTGGATGAGCAGGGATCTACCGGGGCAAAGACAAAGGCTGTTTCTTTACAACTTCTCCATCCCCGTAATAGTTACATGCTCTTATATTGAGTTCTCCTGAGGGTTGTAGCTCGACATTGCCTCATCCTGCTCATGGATTTAGATGACAGCTTCTGGACCATGTTTCCCTGACACGCCTGCGACGCCAGCTAGGGTCAGTTTTCCCTCAGAATATGACCCTGCTCTGCACTGGAGAGGTGGCCTCTTCCAGGGTCATCCTCTAAGCACAGCAGTGTACCTAACAGTGCCAGGCTCAGCTCTGCAGTGCTTGTGCAACCTACAGGGGAGTGTGTCACACGTCTCCCCTTGTGTCCACGCATAAAGAGAGGAGTTGTTACAACCCTCCCCACCCCCCCATCCCAAGGCCTTTCTTCCTCAGATCCAGCCACCCCAGTGCTGCTTGTTTTTAGCCCAGATATGCTGTTTTTTCCCCTGGTGCGTTGGTTCCAACTTTCTTGGGCAATATTGCCATGCCAATCAACGAGGAAGCAGTAGGTTGATTGCCTGGCTAAGGGCTACCAGGTCAGATGCTTTGGCAACAGAGATGGCCAAGAGATGGGCCCAGAGATCGAGGAACCCCCTGAAGTGGGCAGGTGTTTGGATTTGGGGTTTTGCCCCGCTTCTTCCAGGAGCAACCTAGCAGTTAGTTTCCTGCAGAGCTTGGCTAGTCTTAACGCTCATCATCAGTTCCACCATGGCAAGTAGCTCCTAGAAATCCCCACCAGGATTGGGATCTGGTATCAACCCATTCTTACTTAAACTGCAAGGCATAAAAGGCGAGATGCAGGTATGTGCCAGGCCTGCATGCAGCGTGCCAGGAAGCCGAGGAGCAAAGGAGGCGAGAAGGCACCTTTCTGTCCCTGAATCTAGGGAGAGCTGGGAACTGGTTAGGCCCTGGGTATAGCCCAGAGTTGTGGCCTTGGCCTCAGTGCTTCTGTGAGCTACATCTGATGGTTATTAGTGTGAAGGAGCCATCAGCCAGCAAGCGGTCACTTTTGGGTGGGTTGCTCAAGCTATGCCCTTCTCTGCCAGAGGCAACATAGGCAAGGCACAAGGCAGGCGAAACCAGTGCACATCACCCAAATTCCCTATATACCAGGGGAACACCCTGCAGCCTCAGTCAACCTTTTGTGTGACCAGTGATGCCCAAGATCTGATCCACGGTATTTTCCTGCCATTCAACTGAGTATCTGTTTGATCTCTGGGCTCCACGCATCGATGCACAACGTGCATGGCACAAAAGCAGCTAGTGCATCTTACAGCACGTAGAGAAAAAATACCCCTGTGCTTTTTTGTAGCAGCCATCAGAAATGTTCTGCAGAATTGGAGTCTATTCTGTGAAACCCAGAGAGAAAACACAGGCTCCTTCCACAAGAAATACAACGATGAGAACATTGCAGACCGTCCCTCCTCGCTAATCGGGATAGGACACTGGCAGGTATAGCAAGGTGGGGAACAAGAGGAGGAAAATCTTCACATTTGGAGTGAAGCTGTCACACTGGGGTTTTAATCCCTTTCCCCCAAAACAGTTATCAGTTGGGTGGTCCCAGCCCACCTTCATACCAGGTTGGTTCAAGTAGCTGTAGACCCAGTCAGGACTCCAGTGCTGGAGGAAGCTGTGGAAGATGTCTTGTAGCTCGCTATACTCGTCATAGTATTCATAGTAATCGGTCGTGTCTGGAGAGGGGAGAGAACCGAAAGGGCATTAAAGCTGGCATTGTTTAAAGAAAAATAAATCCACTCCTCGGAGTTGGCACTTTTCTGCGTATGTAGGTGTCGCAGACACGGATCCTACAGCCCTCTGCTTTACGAGCACACATGGCGGCTCTTCCTTGCTAACTCTGTAAGGGCTACAACCATCAGTGAGCAAGCCTGGGTCTCTCAAGACAGGGAGCAGATGGGCAGGCCCAGCCGTTGCAACATTTTGGCCATGTCTCTGCTGCTGCTGGACTGCAGAGGGCTGGAGGGAATCAGGATCATCCAGCATCGGTCAGTCCTG